ATGCTAATTCTACCACACTCACTCAGAATGCCAGGTGATTGTCCCTAGAAACATGGACTGTAGAATTTGACTTTAAAAATGACTTCAATAAGTCAAGAGTTTATGCTGGTGATACGAAGTGAGTTATACAATTAAAAACTAGGGAGATGAAAGTGTTGTATTAACAGCATTTGAGAAAAGATCAGTTAAGTTTAGAGCTGGAACCATATTGTAGGGGTATCTAAAACCAAGTGATTAACCAGGGTATAATGAGTTTCTGCTGCCTGAAAGTCCTATTGAACCTTCTTGAACAATATTTTCCCACTCAGTCCAACAAAACAGAAAATAATTCTTAAGTAGGATTTCTAAACTCTCTGTTGATGTCAAATCTGGCTTCTGGCTGGACAAGAAAATTACACAGTAACTTCTGAGTTGATCTTAGCCTAAGGGGTGAAAGAAATGCTCAGTGTACCTTTTGAGTTTTCTAGGTATCTAACAGTACTAAGGCTGAGAAAACCCTGTAGAAACAAAATGCACAGAAACTAGTTCTGTAACCCTGAGTAATCCTGACACCCCATAATGCACACTTCACAAAGAAATCTCCTTACGGCCATAAGAAGAAAGATTTAGAAATAAAGTTAAATGAAGATAGGAGCCTCTTTTGCTCACAGAAGGGAGATCAAACACTCCATAGAAATATATGTTACAGTGCAATTGCCCTCTGGGAGTCACAGTATTATGAAAGTCTAACTTAATTAAGGGGAAAAAATAGGTCACTTTTAATAACCACATATGTGACACACCACTTTGACTACATAGAAAAAGTGAAAAAAGAAAATGATAGAAGAAATCAGAAATATAAGAAAGACATTAGTGAAATACATCAGTCTCGGAGTCAGGTAAATGTTTGTTTTAGTGTGCATAATGAAAATTCACTATTCTTCTAATTTTCCTCTTTGAAAACAATGGTAATATATTTTAGAAAGAAATTCGTAATGCTAAAAGAAAAAAAAATGAAATAACCTACACAAAAAATTAAAAAAGAACAAAAGAACCACACTGAGGTAACAAACAGTTTTCTCATAAAAATGTGCCATGTGTCTGTTTCTTTCTCTATGTCATGTCATCAAATGTCAGGTCATCCCCTACTAGTGATCCCTACATGAAATCTTCCCCCTTTCAGGCTTCCATGTTCCTGTGGGGTCGAGCTAATTACAGGCACATTTCCTCTGGAAGATAGTCACACTCTCAACTGTGGAAGCCATGATTAATAATGGAACAAAGCTAGTTGAATTTTATTTTCCTTCACATGGCTTTGCTGTCACACAGGGAGTTAGTCTCTTCCTCCAGTGTCTCTAAGAAAGACTTGCATGATAGGCTGAAAACAATTACACTGTTTCCATAATTTGAAAGGAATAACCACACACACACACACACACACACACACACACACACACACACACACACACAAATACTCAGGCACATACACAGAATCCTAGTTGTCTTTATAAAATAGCGAAGGCAAGTTTTTCTCTTCTGTCACTTGGAATATCATTTTGATCCGGTGTTTATGTAGGTCAATTGTGAAAGAGATGAAAAGCATAAGCTTGGCAATCAATAGACATTGTAAGGGTGGATGGTGGTTGTCTTTCACTCTGCAAATATATGAGCGAGCTCCTTTTGCATGTACAGGAATAGATTCTGACCCACAGAGAAGGCCTGGATAGATGACTAGAAAAATAAAGTTTTCTTGAGATGTGTGAAGGGCATGGATGAGAATAGAAAATCCTTGTCCTATGTCCTAAGTCTTGAGCAGAGATCTATGAACATTCTTCTAAAAGGCCAGATGAAATATATATTTTTTTAGTCTTTGTGGGCTGGGAAGTTTTTGTTGTTGTTGCAAATGTTTGTCTGATGTTATAGAGTGAAAGCAGCCATAAACAATATGCAAATACAAGAGTACGGCTATATTTCAATGTACCATTGTGTATGCACACTGAAATTTGGATTTCATATATCTTTTACTAGCAAAAAGTAGACTTCTTTTTTACTTTTTTCGACTATGTAGCTATTCCAAAAATATTATTAGGCTGGGGGTGTGGCTTAAGAGGTAGAGCACCTGTCTAGCAAGCTTGGTACTCTGAATATGAAATTCCACTTATCCATGTTAAAATAAGAAGGTATTCTTGCTAAGGTATTACATAATTACATAATTACATAAATGAGGCATACTGGATTTGGCCCATAGGCTTAGCTTGATGTCCCTGATATTGATTATTGGGGATCCTTGTGAGTATATAAAATTTTGTAGGTTATTTTAAAACTCTAGAGTTCTCTCAATATATAAAAATATTCTTTATCCTGAAAGATAATGGTTGGTCCCTTGGACTTTCATTGACATGAAGCATAGAAAGCAGTGTACTTTAAGTTTCAAATCAGATGTTCATTATTATGAAGATGTTTGTATTAGAGTTAGTCATGAAGCTCTAAACCAACAGACAAACAGCCTTGAAGCTTTGGTTCCCAGAACTTTTTTTTTTTCTTCCCAGAACTTTTCTAAACACAAAGGACAAAAAAAAATAATCTATCTTTAGGCTCCACTCAGCAATTGCATTTCCTCATGAAAATACTATTTTACTAGCCAGTATTCTACCAAAGGAAATAATGTCCTTCTATTAATATATCTATTAATTGACCATAACATTAATGTGTTTTTATTTCATTATCTATTTTACCTTTGATTACCTATTTTATTTTATGATTAAGATTAAGAGATTAAAAATAGTATGTTCATGTAAACTCCTAAATTAAAGATTAAAAAGAACAAAAGTATAAAATAATGGTAAGGAAACAAGAGAATAGTCTGTAAATCAACTGCTATTCCTAACTCCTAAGTAATTTTTAAAGATTTTATTTGTAATATTATTGATATGTAATTTATATATGTATATTTATATATGCATATGTGCATATATATACATAAAGGATATATATACACATGGACCAGAAAAATGTCTCTATATTTATTAACAGTCAGTAGAATAAAGAATTCAAGATTATTTATAAAAATTCACTGACTTAATTTACAAACACAAAATTATTTAGAAAAATAACAGAAATATTGGAAACAAAGAATTTCCTTTAATCGATTCTTCAAAATAAATGTATGCTAGGATTTTGATCATTTCTCATTAACAATATAGAAAACACAATGATTTTAGAAGTTGGTTTGATAAAATAGGCCTGTTATTTTTATACTGAATGGCCAGCCAATAAAATAATGGCTACTTGGTACAGTGGTAGGTGTGTAGGTGAGGAGTTAATAGAATACTATCAAAGTTGAATATGTTCTGAAGTTTTAGTTCAAGGGAAAGACAGACATCTTCAGATTCATACTGAAGACAATCTTCTATATGATCTTATGAGACAATAAATTTGAAATTGATTCCCCAAATAAGCTTACACTGTATTGATTTTATATGTTACCAATAAGTGGCAATGGAAATATTAATAAGGACATCTTTTAAAGAAAATAGAGATATCTGATAAGAATATCATGCTAAATATTAGACCATGTCATAGGTTTGTCCAAACTTTACTTGGAAATTAATTTGGAGTATAAGGTTAAATGGTGGCCCCATGATCTCACATCATAAAATACAGAGGTTTTTTTAGGCCATTGTAACCAAACATTACTGGGACCCTTTAAGAAATATATCAGGATACCTCTTTCTGTATGCTTAGCTTGGCATATTTTTAAATGGAGTTCATTATCACATGAATATGCTGTAAATTAATTTCTAAACACTTTATGAATAGACTTTAAGAAAATATCAAGACATGCGCTGGTGGCTCCCGCTTGTAATCCTAGCTACTCAGGAGGCTAAGATCTGAGGATCACAGTTCAAAGCCAGCCCAAATAGGAAATTCCAAAAAATTCTTATCTCCAATAAACCATTAGAAAACCGGAAGTGGCACTGTGGCTCAAGAGGTAGAGCACTGTTCTTGAGCTGAAGAGCTCAAGGACAGTGCCTAGGCCCAGAGTTTAATCCCCATAACTGACAAAAAGAAAAAGAAAAAAGAAAATATCAGACATAAGCCAGGTAAAAGTTGAGGATTCTATATAGTTTTCAAATCACTTCACCATGTTAATACATTTATGTTTTCAAATATTTAAATCAACACATTTATCAAACAAAAAAATTCCTCTCTACTAAGCTAAAAGCTGTCTTATAAGAATTTTGATCTACAGATCTGGAACAATTGAATAGTAGGCTCCATTGTCAAAGACAGCTGAGTGAATCAATTGGTAGTGCAGAGGAATATGCATTCAGTTAATTCTAACTCTTTTGTTAGAATATTTAAATAATGCTAGAAATATAATGTTGGGGGGGTTGGAATTGAGTTACATGAAGGTGATAAGAATATGGAAAAGCAGATGCAAAGAATATTCCTGGGATATTCAGATTTGTACTGAACTAAAGCCAAAATCTGAGATGAATGATAAACTCATGTAGCTTCTTCCACCCCTACCTCCATAACTTCTGTCCATCACAGAATTAGATGCCAAGTCATAGAGAGGAGAAGCCACAGACAATATTGTTTTGTTCCTGACTAGTTTCTTCACAAATTGGTACATACTAGAAAACTAATAGTTGTCTAAAATTGAAGCAAGACAAACTTACAAAAAATGTAAATTCAATTCAATACATTGTCCCAAGTAACTCAACTACCAAATCAGCATACGTATTAGATGAAATACCAAGTCATTCAATGTTCCTATATGTGTTGCCTTGTGGGTATAATATTGCAAGTGAAATATAATGTGTATATGCACTTATTATTATAGCTATGAACTTCATAGAAATGAACACAGTTCTGAAGACAGCAAGAATACTATAACAGACCTGTCTGGTCATATGGTAATCATCTTAGTGTCTTAAGAACATGAAGTGTTCTCACCATTTGACAACACAATCTTAGCTAGCATGTGACATCTTGCAAATTAGAGGGCTGCTTACCAGTTGGTGTAAGGTGTCTCCAGGTGATAACGGGTTCGGGGCGGCCATTGGCCATACAGACCAGGGTCACATTGCTGCCCTCATTCACAGTGACGTCTGAGGAGATGTTGGAGATCTTTGGTGGAACTGTAAAGACAATAAATGGAATATGTAACCATGTTGTTAATGTCATTAAAGCAGGCTTGTAGCAATGATCCATATAACTGGAGATAAGAAATGTAATTTTTTCCTGATTAATTTGAAATTTTGTATTAAGTAACCAGGGTACTTTTAAGATCTCTTCTTGTTATCTTGTTATCTGCTCACCGAGTCTCAAGGTGAGAATACCTCCCACTAGGCACATCTGAGTGTTATACAAACTATCTGTCATCTTATAAGGAAAAAAGCTTTACCTTGATTCTTACCAAGATAAATTTTATTTACATATGAGATGGTCTGTATATTTACATAAATTAATAACAAATTTTTCTCATCACAGTCACTCAAATTTTTATATATGATACCATATATTTACTATTATACCTACTATTATACCATGACCATGTATCATATATATCATGTATATCACATCAGGTATATAATATATAATGTAGTCTTCTCCATACGCTAAGGCAATAAAAATATAGTTTAGTATAAGATTGCATCATTGTGTTAGTAAGATGCAGGATTTATGCATCTACTTAAATAAACCACACTATAATAACTATAATAGAAAGCCTCTAACTAGTATCATAATGTATAAAAGGTCAGATAGTGTACTTGAAAATGTATATGATGGAACTAATAAGGCTCATTTAAAGAGATGTAGGCATTGTAAAACTACTACCCTACTATTATTCTAAAGACTATTGTCATCACTACTACTTACAATGTAATGATAGTTAACTTTAGTTAAACATACCTTTAATTACACACTTATAACACTACTACTTACAATGTAATGATAGTTAATTTTAGTTAAACATACCTTTAATTACACACTTATAATACCTAAGATACTGTGTAGGGTATGTACCAAGTATCATCTGAGACAAAGTAAGGGATAATATTGATGAAGATGCAAACACTGACATGCTGAATTTAAACCTTTTTGTACAACTACTTAAAGACAATAAAAGAAACAGACCATTTCAGTAGCAGCTTACAACTATGCTTTGAGAATCTTATTTGCTGGCAGGAGACTAAGGGCATCTATGGGGTTATATGTGAAACGCAGATAGAATTTCGAACTGGGCAGTCAGGGAGACTGCAAGGCCCACTCTCTTAAGTAATTCTTGAGTGAAATTTCATCTTCACAATCCAGGCTACCAGATGGCCAAAAATGACAGAAATTACTTTTTGGTGATGTGAAAAATGAGTCCCCAAGGGCAAGCTGTACTGCCGCCTGACTTCCTTCATTAATGTTCTGGGTGGCAGCATGAGAGCCCATATTGGTAGGCTGAAGTGGAAAGCGTGGGGAGTGAATTACTCACAGATTTCATGATGGAGGTTATGCGCTGATTACAAATAGCAAGGTTTATGGATGCTTGTGATTTTTCTTTTTCCTTTCATAGTTTTCATAACTCAGTGACTATGCTATCACTGAGAAAGTATGTGTCTGAGGGAAGACAAGAAAGCACAAAGGACTTCAAGAAGAAATCTCCCCCCCTTTTTTTTTGCTCATTAGAGACTGTACCTTCCCAACAGGGACATTTTCTGCTTAAAGAGACAATTGCCTAAAACAGGAACCAGTATACAAGGACTCATGCACCTCCATGTTTATTGCAGCACTGTTCACAATAGTCAGGATATGGAAACAACCCAGATGCCCCACCACAGATGAATGGATCCAAAAGTTGTGGTATCTATACACAATGGAATATTATGCAGCCATTAGAAAGGACAAAATAATGACATTTGCTGGGAAATGGATGGAGCTAGAAGAATTCATGTTGAACGAGGTAAGCCAAGAGCAAAGAGACAAATGGTACATGGTCTCCCTGATAAGTGGATGTTAAATCCAAAATGTTAGGTGATATGACAAAATTAACAGGACTTAAGAAACAAAGAACTTCCACACATCTGGTCAAACTACTTCTAAATAACCCCATGTTACTGATCACATGTATGGTATATATGTGCACACCGGAGGGGAACCAGGAGGAAAAACATACAACAGCGGGATCCATTAGCTGCACAGGACATTGACCAAAATGAACTAAGCAACTTAATGGCAGCGATGGGAGGGAGGGAACAAATGGGAAAGAAGGAACAGCTGATGTTATGCAAAACAAAAGAAATATACATATCACTTGATGTGGAAGAAATAACTGTATCGCAAAGCTCATAGAACTCATAAATGTTATAGACCGTGATAGACAATTTGCTCCAGGAAAGTTAGAATGTGTTTGTGACTTTAACTGAGCATCACTATCCCACAATACTGTGAAACTTGGGAAATTATGTAAACACTTAATCACATTAAAACATTAAAAAAACAATTGCCTGAAAATGATTAATTTCCCCAAAATCCTTGTTAGGAGACATGATGATATTTAGACAACTGACCAGACTATCTCTTGAAGGAAGCAAATGGAAGACATCCATGACCTCAGTGTTCCTCTCACAAGGACATTTTTTAGGGCCTCTGGGTACAGAGTGATGACTCCAAATCTAGCCCAATGGTAGAGGCAGATCATAGTTAATTCTCATAACTTAGCAATCTCTATGGTGTTTATAGAGTTTCCATTCCTCCTTTAGCTATAGGGGTTAAGGGTTATTTTCCTGTCTTCATACATTGACTTGCGATGTGTTTCTCCCAGACTTTTAGAACAAAGACCTGAAAGGTCATACTCATTTTATTGGAAAGAACTTGAGGAAAAGAGATTAATGGCTTGTCAAGAATGATCCTATCAACCACTATGGCTGGACTTATGATTCAGAATTCCTAAGTGTCCAGATGTTCTATAGATTGATACTTACAGTTTCTAACTTCTAGCTGAGTAAGCTAGTGTTCTGAACATCTCCAAATAAATGACAATAAATCATTTGAAAGAACAAGCTATAAACATCTCAGGTGTCTTTCTCAACAATCTGACACTGTAAGAAGAAGCTCTGTGGTAATTATAAGAGCTCACATTCTTCAAGTTGTAGTTACCTCTGAATTGTAATGCAGGCCATGGTGTAAGGAGAGAACATATAGACATTTTGCATTTTCATGTCATGGTGGGAAGCTACGAATCAACCCTACATAGGCAAGTGTTCATAAAATTAGAAATTATATGTAGAGTAATTGATTACAAGCTTAAGTTCATTGATTCTCTTAATTGAGGGCACAGGACATTGTTCCTAGCAAAGAGACATGCAGAAACGTCTATGCTGAGTAGTCAAGAATGGAACCATATAGTACCCTACCACTGGTATAGGTATCACTACCTACATGCCTCCATTCATTTTCTTTATTCATTCATTTGTACTAGCTTTTTCACAGAGAATTTATATGAGATGACATATGCTTTTTGCTCTCATAAGAAATTATTTCTCGGGGCTGGGAAGGTGGCTCAGTGGTAGAGCGCTTGCCTTGCATGCATGAGGCCCTGGGTTTGATCCCTCAGCACCACATAAGCAAAAAGAAAAAAGCTGGAAGTGGTGCGGTGGCTCAAGTGGTAGAGCGCTAGCCTTGAGCTGAAGAGCTGAGGGACAGCGCCCAGGCCCAGAGTTCAGGCCCCACGACTGGACCCAAAAAAGAAAAAGAAAAAAAGAAATTACTTCTCAAGGCTCATGCTGTTCTGATAACTTTTGACTTCTCTTTTTAAATTTCTGGACACAACTGTGCTGTGCTACATCTTTGCTGCCTGAGCAACACTTCACACGTTCAGTGCCAAGTGGATTCCTTCCTCAGTCTCCAAAGAAACTGCTCCAAAGAAACAGTTACTATTTCTAGAGCTGTAAGCCACTTTTGTCATTATCTTATTTTCCACTGGAGACTTTAACTCTACTGATCACAACTTTTCTTCTAGTCCTTGCTTGTCTTTATTTCTAGGATAACAAAATGGTTTCTCCTTTTACCCTTTAGTTAATTTTTCTCAGATTAACTTTTGGATTTACCTTGTTCATTAAAAGTCTGTATTTAAGAGTTTGATAACTGTCCTTTTCTCTTGACTACATTTTACCCATTGGAGTGTTATTACCCACATTGTAGCTTCAGAAGCTAATGCCATGATTTTTGTTTGTTTGCATGAGGTAATCAGGCTGGCTTTAAAGTTCCCCATTCTCCTGCTTCTCCCTTGGGAATGCTGGAACTATAGGTGTGTCCTAACAGGACCTGTTAATAGCATGCTTTGATTGCTTCCAAAGCAGTATTGCTAGCTCACACTTTTCTTCTCACTTCTGTCTTCTTACATGTCCACTTGACTAGTGCCTATTTTTAGTGCATGTTTTATGAATACTCACAAGTATTTGTAAGGTACACCCTGCAAAGGCAGAGCAGATTCCTCCCTCCTCTTGGTTAAGTCTCTGCCCAGTACCTGTGTCACCTAGGTAACCTACACACTTGGAGGCAGTCACCCCTCCTCCCTGAAGTCACATCGCATCCAGTGTGGCCACACCTTCGTCCACCCCTGGCCTTGATAAGTCCTGTCCAGGCTGTGGTTCAACCCATTATTCCTGCTGCCTGGGCTTCCAACTTGACTAGAGGTGGCCTACAAATAAACCTTTCTCTTGCCTGAATACCACGTGCTGCTCTCTTTTCTCAGCTACCAATTTAATTTACCTGACACCATCTACCTCCTATGAAACACCACAGTCTGATTATTTTAGTGAATTATTGGGACAGTTTCTCTCCTTTGTTGTCCCCATATAAAATTTTTATGTCTTCTCTATTTTAAATGTCTCTCAGATTCATTCATTATTCCCAAGCCCCCAGTCCCACTCAACCTTCTTTCAAATAAAATTTCTTTGTTTATATATATATATATGTATATATATATGTATATATATAGTGTATAGTGTGTGTGTGTATATATATATATATATAGTGAGAATTTAAACTAGTTCATTTGCCTCTAAGAATGCATCATCATGCATTCTCACTATCATCAAGAATATCTCCTAATCTGTAAATGTGAATATATTATACTTTGATTTAT